GGGAACGAGCCCGGCCCGGCCTCTCCGTGAGGGGAACCGGCGTGGGCCCAGTCCGGGGGTATCTCAGTGAGCGGAACCGAAGCGGAACTTGCAAAATGTGAAATATAACAAGATTATTTTAAATTAGAATGTTCTTTTTAAAATGCAAGCTCCTTGTATACTTTCAAACCTAATCAGCAAGAAAGGAGACCTAATGAGTAAAGAGCAGCTAGCAGCCCTTAGTCCACGACATATGAGAACTAACAAGCTTTAGGGATGTATTAAATCAAAATGTTGATGTATGTGTATGTATACATTGATAATTTGGCAAAGGACTCGATGTCTGTATATCCCAGAGCTGAACTATCTTCATTGTAATACTCAAGATCATGTCTAAGGGTCAAAAAGATCCTGCCCAGGTACAGACCCTTCCCCATTGCATGTGGAGGTATCTGGGGATTGGCTAACTTGTATGGAAATTACTAAATAATCTTAATAGAGGGGCTGACCTTGGAAAAGACTAACTCTGAACTTGTGTAAATAATGGCATGGAAAGTCCAGTGGGGTGTGTTGGATTTGTGGAAACCCACCAAGCATCCATGCTTGTGCAAATAATGTCTCTGTCAAGTGTGTAATTATTGGTTTGTTGCACACCACATAACAAACCTGATTTTGAGGACAACAGGATGGAATTGCCTTGAGGAGAAGACCCAGAGATCCAGGCTACACCAGAAGAAACCAGCTCCATCCCTCCCCACACTTCTAGTTGCACCATGAACAAAACCATTCCAGATAGTTTTTGCTATGTGGAGCAAGCTCTCCCCAGAAATGGATCTTCCACCAGCCAGAGGGAACCAGTGACCCAGAAACAGAGACTTTACAGATCCGTGTAAAGGTAGCCTGCCACATGCTGTGCAGCCAGTTCCTCCTTTTTTCCCCTTGTTTTTCATTTTCCATACAGCCTGCAGCATCACATTTCTGTCCACATGTATGAACTACACACTCACACGTGTTTTCAGTGTAAAGGCCATGTATGTATCAGTATGGATGGACGTCATGTTAATAACCATTAATTAGTAGTAACACACATCAGCAGATGATGCAGAAGAAAGGGAGTGAGCAGACTTTATGGGTACTACCTCCAGTACAAGCCACCATCAGCATTGGTGTATTATAACAATGTGCATTAAGGGAAAATACTGGTACAGGCTGCCCAGAGCAGTGGTGGAGTCACCATCCCTGGAAGTGTTCAAAAAACATGTGGATGTGGCACTTGGGGACACTTGAGGACATGGTATATTGGTGACCTTGGCAGTGCTGCATAAATGGTTGCACTCCATGATCTAAAAGGGCTTTTCCAACCTTTACAATTCTGACTCTGTATAATATAAAGTGAGAAGGAAAGCAGGAGTGGCATCATTTGGTGTTAAATTTTAAAGAAGGAAAACGCTACTAACACTTTTCAGTTAACTCACCTTATCTGAAGGCAGGAAAAAGCAGGATCCACCTGGTCTACCTGCAGCTGAAGAGCACTAATAATTAGCTATTACTTATTTGGCTAAATCCTGTAACCCGAGTCTCCGTGGTGCACACAGGAGACGGGTGAGTGCTGCTGGATAAGAGCCTCAAGTAGCCAGACTAAAGATTTGATGAAATGCTCTTATTATGATACTTTGCAGCCTGTAGAAGTTGGTTACCTGATCCTCTGCTGTACCTGAGCCTCATTGTTGCAGCTTTTAATAACTGAATATCCAGACGACCTTTAAAGGTGCCTTTGAGGAAAGAACTGACAAGAGTCAATATTCCCAGCTCAAAATGGGCAACAAGCAAACCATTTTCACTCAAGAGCAGCTGGATGCATATCAGGTATAAAGCAAACTAAATGGCTGTTTGGACAGGACATTAAATAATGGCAAAGGTGTTGTTGGGTTTTTTAAAACAACATCTTTTAACAATTAATAAATAGAAGTACTGAATTGCAGCAAAGATTTTAGCAAGGTAGTTTGATTTTTACATCAAAAGGAAGGGTTATAAAATACTCCTAATTGTATGCCAAAAAGAAATCTTTAATGCTTAGACATCCATTACACTATAACCTCATTTAACACACTGCATGGGAAAAGTTTGGGCCAATGCATGCTAGAAACTGTCATTACACGTTATACCTTTTCTTATTTCATAGGACTGCACGTTTTTCACAAGGAAAGAAATTCTGAGGTGAGTCTTCTGTATGCATGCTGTGAGGAAAGTGCAGATTGCTTTAAAGGCAGGTTGCATATGGGGTAAGGTATTTAAAAAATAATTTAAAATTCAAATTTAAACTCAAATTTAAAGTGATGACCTTGGGGTGATATGAGCAGTTTTGTTGGCTTTTTTCATTTACAAATCCTACCCTATCTGAGTCAGAATTCTAAATTTTGTGTTAATGTACTAGTCCCTATTTATTTATTAGCAATAAATGTAATGAATTATGTCTTAGTGGCAGCAACATCCACAGTTCTCTCACATGGTTTTCAGACAGATGCTTCAAAGTCTGCTTTTATTCTCTGGAATACTTTGCTGGTTTATGAAAACTTTAATGACTGTGTCAAATTTTCTTCGTGTTTTCTTGTAAATGATTACACTGCTGCACTAAGATGCATTTTTTCCTGAAGCCTTCATGTGCCTCACTGAACTTCCTATTTAATCTCTGGCCAAAGGATCTGATAAAGAAAGGACGAGGTGGGAAGAGAAGTGAGAGTCCTCACTGAAAACATGAATTTGTTCTCCTCTCCTAAGGGTTTGGCTGCATGCCCTGTGTAAGCATTTTCACATAACAGTTCTATCATGAAGATTTGTGTTTTTCACCAGTTACAGCTTGTTTTAATAATGGCTTTTCCAACAAAAATCATACTGTTACTTAGTGACCGACCCCTATCTGCTAATGGATGCAAAGTGTAAAAAACGAGGTGGAAAAGCAAAACGCCTCGTTCTCAGAAATCTAAAGAGCCAACAAGGCTTTCTCTTGTCTCAGGCTGTTTTACAGGTACCGAGATCTGGCCCCGCAGCTCGTCCCCCTTGACTACTCTGCCCGCCCAGCCGTGACTCTGCCCTACGAGCTCATCGGCAGCATGCCAGAGCTCAAGGTACGAGAGCACGACTCGAGTGACACATTTCAGTTTCATTTACCCTTTCTGAATAATTCATCCGGGACTAATTGCTTGGGAGGCTTACATAGAAATAAATTTGGGCTATTGAAGTCAAAGTCTTTCTGGAAGCTTCTAGTAATTCCAAGAAAACACGCTGAAACAGCACAAAGGTTCAACAGGGTGAAGCTGCGTCTGCTTCTGACACAGCATTAGACGAGAACTTCAAGGCAGAAAGGGGAGAATTGACCAAAAAGATGTTTCAACCAAAATAGTCTTGCCCCACTTGCTTTACGTGCACTGAAATCAATGCTGGTGAGGATGACCTTGCCTTGCTCCTGTGCTCTGTTTCCCAGGACAACCCGTTCCGCCAGAGGATAGCAGAGGTGTTCTCAGAGCACGGCGACGGCAATATGACTTTGGATGATTTTTTGGACATGTTTTCTGTGCTAAGTGAAATGGCTCCCAGAGACTTGAAAGCTTATTATGCTTTTAAAATTTATGGTGAGTGAGACATATGTAAAAAGTAAGTGGGGAAATCGTGCAGCTTCGTGTAGGGCTGCAAAATCCTCACTTTGTCACCATAATGATTTCTAGTTACCATTTCTTTTAATTGCACTTGAATGTTTCTTCTCCCTCTTCTAAAAACTTCCGATTTTCTTTATCCTTTTGTCTCTAATTTATTTGGTATTAAGATTTACTACAGAATTTACAACTTGAACTTATCTGCAGTTTTCAAGAGCTGATAAACATTAAGAAATATTTCTGTCTGAGGGGCTGCTTGGAAAAGTACAACACAGGGGATTTGGCTGCCCATGAATCTGTAGGGTGGATTGGGGAAGGGGAGGCAGGGAAACACACTGCAGGATTTTTTCTCCAAGGACAAATGTAAAGATTTTTCTTTTTTTTCTTTTTTTTTAAAGTACCATTTACAGTGACTTTCTTTATGATCAGCTAAAGACAAACAATACATCAAACCAACATAATCTTGCTGGAATGATTTAATGATGGCTAGGCCATTAAACCACCATTAAACTACTTACAGTTGTTATCCTTAGGTAAGAAAAGGAGAAATTAGGAGATTTTTATTTTGTAACTAATTTATTTTAAAAACAGCTAGAGGTAACTTCATTTCTGATTTGAGAGTTCTTCTGCTAAAAATCCATCACGGCCTGGGAACCAAACCCTTCTATTGGGTCTTGGCAAACAACCGTGTAAAATGCTGATTTCTGTTGCTTTAAATTAACTTTGTCTCCTTTTGTCAGACTTCAACAATGATGATTACATATGCAAATCGGATCTAGAGAAAACTGTTAACAAATTAACCCGAAATGAACTGACCCCAGAAGAAGTCAGGCTTGTTTGTGAAAAGGTGATTTACGAGGCTGATGTGGACAATGATGGCAAGCTGTCCTTGGCAGACTTTCAGCATATGATCCTAAGAGCTCCAGATTTCCTCAGGTAATATTTGCTTTTAATTTCTAACATAAAATTATCTTCGTTTTTCCCTGTCAGAAGCCTCTGAAGTGTGTGTTTACATCTCCTCAGCGTTTGCAGATCACCACTCTTCCCTTGCAGGTTCTAGTAGAGCTGCCCACTGCAAACACTGCAAAAATAGATGCTTGAAAAAGCCTCGAGGCTTCTTGACTTGCTTTTGAACTTCCAAAGTACTTTTTACATGATAGAAGGTCCTTGTAACCTAAAAACCTAAAAAATTAGTACTAGTGCTTAGGCTGCATTGATAAATGCATGGTATTTGCTCACTCAATGCTTAACATAGTGTTAATGTGGTTTCTGATGCACATCTTACACAAAACAACACTCAAATCTTGCATTTATTTACTCTACCCAATCTTTGCAAATGCTTTGAAAAATAAAGTTTCCAATTTATCACAGAGTCCTACAATTAATTGTAGTAAAGCCTTTAAACAGAGTGATACGTGATGTGGGACACAAATTGAGAAAGTAAGAAAATTACAGCCTGAAAATTATTCCAGGCTGGAGCTTCTCAGCTCTGTTCCCAGCCCATAAACTGGTCCAGCTCAAGGCTAGGGAGAATTTCTCCCAGGGTGATAATTTGGTCAGAATAAAAAGGAATTAATAACAAAATCAAACCCCTGTTGTGGTGTGTGCCCAGGCCCTGGCAATGGGGTGTCTTCTCTCTGAACCAATCACCTTTTCTCTACTCTGGGAGTTGCAGTCCTGCTGTAAAACCAAGTGTGTTTGTGAATAAACTTGGCTCTTCCTTCCTGTCATGAAAGAGAACCATGTAGCTGTGCATCTTATTTCTGTCTTACTTAAAGGGTTAAAACCCCTTCCCACGGCTACAACGTCACTATCATGACTTCCTTTTTTTAACAGCACCTTTCATATTCGAATCTGAATCGATGGAAACGCTTCTGGGACTTTCAACAGCTACTCCTGCACCTGAGATAAACAGCCATGAGAGCACAAGATGAGAGGGGCAAAGAGGACAACTTGTGGTAAAAGCAGTCAGAGAACTGTCTTTCATTTAGCACTCATTCATTTTTCATTCTTTAAAGGGAACAATTCATTAAGCTCTTCATCAGGATTTCCCTGCAATTTAGCAAAATGTCTACTCCCCACTCTCAGCTAGAGTAAACCTGGCCTGGACAGTCAGAAGGGAATTATTTTTTTTGAAGTTCAGACAACACTAGGCAATAAAGGAACTTGTACCAAACTATAACCCGTAAAAATTTGCCCAAAAATGTCTTAATGAGTAAAAAAAATCCCTTTAGTTTCCAAAACATAAGTAACTCCTCCTTATGGTCTTAATAAATTGTCCAGTGAATCAATTCCTGAAGTATTCTCCCACAGTGCAGGATTTACAATGAAAAAGTGAGCACAGTTTAGATATAAAAGAGGCTACCTACACCAGGTCCTGTCCCTCTTCTCCATTTCCAGAAATATCCTATTTTCCACACCCACCAGGGTCCCTATGCACAAATGATTAATAGGTCTGAAAACTGAAGTTTGTAAAATTCTCTTTTCATAAGAAGTTTATTTGTGCAGTGCTCAGGGTCCTGTACAAGAGAGTAAAAACAGACATACTGTAATACAGTTTTGTTTTAATATAAACATGAAAATCAATGAGAAGTGTTTAAGAAAGCAGTTGTAATGTGGGAAGGGTGGCAGCCAAAAGTGATAATTCAAAAAAATACAATTTACAGTCATTTTTACAAATTTTGGGATGCATTAAATTCCCTTCAAAACAAAGTCCTAAGCCCCCAACTCACATTCAATGTAGAGCAGATGATTCCTGCAGAAAGGCTGGAGAGACCAGTTAACCAGCCAGTTACCTTTATTATCAACCACAGAAACTCCAGGGATCAGTGAAGGATGGGTCAGGGAATAAGGCAGCCTGGAACACTCAGACTGCAGTTACCAATTCACATTCCTTTGAACAGATCTTTAGTTAAGCTAAAAATGAAGAAGCAAAGTCATCATTTTTTCCCCAAACCCTCCAACTTGTACAAGCACAAAGGAGCCCATCCTCACACAGCTGTCTGTGCTTTCCCCTGACAAGGCCAGGAGAACAAGGAATCGTGGCAGTTTTCAGCATGATCATCAGAAAAACACACCACCACAATAACCCCTTAGCAATCATCAGGGAGATGATCAGCATCTCAGATGAAAGGAAAGACCAAATAATTTTCAGCAGCACTAGAGACTTTAAATAATCCATAGGATTTATAAATCTGAGGCTAAAAGTCTGATGCTGGCATAAAGTTCTGATGTGTCAGGAAACATGAGCTGTGCCTGTCAGCACAGGACATAGACAACACAAGTGTTAAGTAAGTGCTAGAACAGCAGCTCCACCATTTATTGACAGACTCACAGGTGTCCACCCCAAGGAGTGACAACTATGCAAGGTACTGCAACCAGCCTCAAAAATAAGGTCAACCACAGAATTCCATGATCCTCACTGAAGTAAAAGGGAATCTGACAACATGCTCAAAAATGGGTTTGTTTCTCTACAAAATAAATCTTAATCAATTACCTGATATTTTAGTGATATTTAGACACTGAAAATGTGTAGTAAGCACAGTTAGTTTTGCAGGCCTACTTCAGTTCCTCATTTTTATAGATTTCGTAGCCAATTTCTGATTTTTTTCCTCCTTAGTTGAAGAAAGCTTAGACACAAGTAGATTACTGTATTTACACAGTACCTCTCTGACAATTGCATTTTCCATTACATTCATACTTAATAAACACAGCAATTGAATGATGTGATGGACACATACTGTACTTCTCCTAGATTTGATGCCTGTGTTTAGTGGCACATAGCTAAGCCCACGTGCAGTGCAGTTTCTTTAACCTTTTCCTCTCTTACACTTGCATTTTAAGTTTCATGTTGCTCACACAGATTTAATGTCTGTGTAGAGCCTTCATATCCAGAAGTACAGTGATGACTGCAGTCACAGCATGAGACTTCCTGAGATCAAGCAATAATGTTGTTGTTTGTAAACCCAACCATTTCAAAGGAAATAATGCCATGATCAGGTATATAAACACGTGCTACAACCAGTGTACATTTAAGGTATTCACATACAAAAAATTCTGAATGAAAGAGTAATTCCAGATTTAAAAAACGAGTGAAAAATCACAATACCATCCTTCACGTTTTACCCACTTGTAAATGAATATAGTTTGCTTTCCCATCTTGAGATGAGTTATTGATACAGTCCACAGGCAAGAACCAGAATCATGGCAGACCCATGGTATCAAGTCAGATAAACCACCAATTTTCCAGTCACTCTGAAAAATAAATCTGGCTCAGCATCTGGCTGTAAAAAGCACAAGACAGATGCTTGTTATTACTATTACAGTTATGTAGGAAATTCAGCCTGTCTTATCACCACCCCAGTTGTGCCTCAATCATTTCCTGAAGCACACACAAAGTCTTTAAAACATCCTTAGGTCAAGACAGAGGTGCTGTGCTGCTTGTCCAGTCTACAGGTCTGTGTTAAATACATTCTGATGCATGCACTGTCTAAAAGGCTCCTCAGAAACTTCACATGGTTTTATCCTACAAACATGTCTGTGTGTTCATCCACTACAGGGCACGTTCATCAAGTCCTCATGCTAAAAAGCCACAAGTAAACAAAAAAACCAAACCATCATAAGGTTCTGGTTAGAGGAAAGCTTTAATCAGGACAGAGATTATCTAAATGCATCTAAAATGCATTTTTATAAACCAGTAAGTTACACAGTGAAATCTTCTTCCATTTTAGAACAGGCAGTATTCCTGTTGGGCCCAATTGCACGCTTCAGATTTACACAGTTTAATTGTGAATCCAACAGATATTTAACTATAGCAACACTTTTTAGTGCTACTCTTGAGGCCCAGAGTTCAATACCACAAACTTGAAGGAAAAACAAAACTGGTGAGTAAATTCCACAACTTCAAAATCAACTTCAATTTTACCCTTAATTGCAGCTGTCAATGTAAACAAAGCATGTTTCAGTTGCAGCAAGCTGCAGGACACAGCTGGTGTGTTCACTGGAGTCAGGTCCAACACCACTGCAATCCTCTGCCAGCAGCCTCAGCAGCTGATGCTCTCACCAGCTCCTTTCATCACTCTAATCCAGAGTCAGGCTCACAGCCCCTGACCTGGGAACAACCACCCCACCCACCCAGGAGCTGCACTTGGCTCTGGCATGTCACAAACTGGAATGTACTGGACTGGCTTTGTGGGAATGAGTAACAGACACGGGTTCCTGTGAGAACAGGCTGCTGCTGCCTGATGGCTGCAGTGAGTGTCACCCAGCAGCAAGGCCAGTCTCAGTCTGAGAGCCTCTTTCCAGACAGTGCTCTGATGTGCAACATTTACTTGCATATGTGAGCAAGTGTGCTTGGGAACACACGACTGGGAGCAGTGCAACACACTTCCTTGTCATGATTTAAAGCTACCTGCTGTATCTTGATAGGTCTGGAGTCTTTCCCAGCAGGAGAGTGGTAAAATCACCCATTATAAGGTGACAGATTTAAGTGTCTCTGCCTGACCCTGGTTCTCCAAGAACAGAGGACAGATCTGTACAGGAGCCAGGGTAGCCATCAGCTCCTGTTGAACACGTCTGAATGTCTGGAGTACTTAATTAAGCACAGTCAAGTCTAACATGGATGAATTACCAATGGTAAGGACCCATTCTATTTACAGCACACATTCTTTTTTTTAAAAAATATAGAGATTCCTTTGAGGAGAATTCTTTTTTAAAACTTCAATTGTACTTGTGGATTGTCTAGAGTAACACAACTGAGTAAGAGACAGGCAGATAAAGGAGTTTCTCTGTAGTAGTAAAGAGCTGGAGCTGCAGAAAGCTCCCTCGTACCTCCTGGGAAGGCATCAGCCTGCACTGCTCATCTCGGTGCATTTCTGGGATGGTCTCACTGCTCTGTGTGCACCTACAAACTGGATATGCACATGTACCATGTATGCACACCTGTACTTCATTACAGTGGCATTTAAGTTTCTTATTTTAATTATAACTTCATCTTTCTAAACTGGATACGTGACAGATACGAATGAAGAGTGAAGTCTGTCAGGTCACGTGATCTGTTCTTCCTCTGCTAGACAATACACATGCCCAGTGGCAATCTGACAAAAATAAACTCGTTTCATCTCCAAAATTGAAGAGTCAGACAGTTACCAAAATAAACCATTTCTTATTCAGATGGTCACAAAGTGACAAGGTTTGTTGGGAGCACTAAGTCCACAGAAAGAGGAAACCTCACTTAGCACAGGCACAGTCCAGCTCAGATTAAGGCCATGTCCCTCACAGAAGAACACATCGAAAAAAGCTGCTTTTCTTTTGCTGGTCTTGTGTGATTTTGACTCCCTGGTTGCTGCCTTGAGGGCTATTGCCTTCCTGAAGATGGAAAGAATATCCAGTTACTTATTTATACTTAAGAGATTCTTCATCTGGTCATTCTGTTGAACCAAGCCTGACAGACACAAAAACCTTTCCCACAATCAATAACAAGGTTCACTCATTTATCTGAGTCTTACACCAGCCATGACAAAAAACTGGAGAACTGCATCTGAACTGCAGAGACAGCCAACATCAGAGCACAGCTTGACAAACTAAAAATACATTTCTAGAACTTTCAGTGATCCTTCATGAAAGAGACTATGATACATTATTTATACACTGTGAAACAGTTCTTGCAATGTGGATTTTGGTTTTTCTTTTCCCTATTTAAATCCAGCATGGATAAAATCGGTTACTCACCAACTTTTTGTCCATTTTTGCTTTGATATCTCTCGCAAGAGTGAAAAATGCCTGTGACAAGTCCAACAGTTCAGTGTTACAGGGTAAATAAAATGTTTTCTAACAGTTCTGTTTAGCTGCCTTCCCAAGTTTCGACATGCTATACAAGAACAGTATTTTTCCCTCTGCTCCAGGTTTTAATGCTCCTTCTCTAGCTCCTTTTTTCTGAGCCCCAAAGCCTCACTGGCTCCCCCCAGCCAGGAAAACACTTAACAACCCGTCTGTGGTACCCAACAATGGAGCTCTGCATCCCACCAGGATGGGCAACTATTCCACACTGCTGGCTTGCACAAAGAGGACAATAAATACAAGAGAAAGGCATTAGTACTTACATTCTCTATGTTTATATTTGCTTTTGCACTGGTCTCCATGAATTTAATGCCGAAACTTGCAGCAAGCTGAACAAAAGCAGATTGCAAAAAATTAGGAACTAAATTAGGAACTGCTATTGGTATCTGTTCTCACTGGCTTTGCTCTGCTCTTTTACACTCTGCACACATTTTAACTTGCTCTTTTTTGTTTCTTGCACAGATACCTTGTCAGTCTCATAACAACCACAGTGCAGAAAAAAACTCTACCTCAATGAACTAACATCTGACATGAGAAAAGACAATCCCATCTACCTTGTCTCAGTGGCTTTCAGCCAAAACAGACATTTACTCCATGTTCAACTCCAGCATCCTTTTAGAAAAGACCTGCTCATTGCTTTGCATCTGTTAGATAATTGACAAGAATCCTTAACACAGGTTCTGCTTTTGAGCCCAGTGGGGAAAAGCATTGCCATGACAGCTTGAGGAATGTTCAGCCATTCCACTCAAGAACACCCCTGTGGTACCATGGCAGCGAGCAGACAACCATCAGGGCAGTTTTTAGACTCTGAAAAACCTAAATCAAAATACATCAAAACCATGGCACTTACCTTCTCCCCTTGCTCTCTAGAGACTTGTCTTTTGTCGTTGGCATCACATTTGTTCCCCAGGATCATTTTTTCAACATCTGGAGAGGCATGCTGAGACAAACATAGACCAGAGACTTGGCCTTGGCTTTTGTAGATAAACATTGTCACACAGATGAGGCACCCATTGAGTACCCAACACAGAGATGCCAGTCCTGAGAATCTTCCACAGATTTCCAGGCTCCCCCCAAACCCCTCATCCCAGCATGTGACCTGCACCATGGCAGTTCTTGGACCAATTGTTGTGGCAGGAAACCATCACATTAGGTGGCCTCAGAAGTACAGGGGCTACAGCCCTCACAAGCAATCACTATCAGCCAAGGTATTCCTGATCTCCAGCCCACTTATCTTTCAAGTACCCTGCAGTGCATTCAGTAATGCTTCTGAAGCAATTAAGCTGCAATTACTTTCAGAGGAAGAAATGATACCTTTAACAGTAATAAGTAAAGAGAGAAATTACCTCTTCAATATTCCTCACCCAGTTCCGAATGTTTTCAAAAGACTTTTCATTGGTGATGTCATACACTAACATAATGCCCTAAAGGTAAAGAAAAAGATTGTTTCAGCAGGAGTTAAAGGTTTATCCACAGCAGAGAGGAGCAACTCAACAGTAGTTATTTTTAACAACTGGTTCCCAGGCAATGGCAGTGAGATAAGGTGTGCAGGACATGTATTTATGAAGAGAAACACGGAGGAAACTGCCTTTCCAAAGTTCTGTATCATCCCAGCACAGCTGTGAGTGTCCAGCCTGGCAGACCACCACGCCGGGAGAGGCTGAGCTGCAAGTGTTCCACGTCAGCCCCAGCTGACCTGACCCACCCAGCTGCGTTTATCAGGGCCCTGTCACAGAATCAGCGATTTGCTCCTACCATGGCTCCCCTGTAGTAGGCGGTTGTGATGGTCCGGAATCGCTCCTGCCCGGCCGTGTCCCTGGAACAGACAGAACCTGGGGCTCATGCAAACCACCTTCACATTAGCTCAAGTTAACACTACCAAAAGATTTAAATTAATTTGAACCAGTCTTCAGAGGACGAGAACTACTTTTTGGGTTCTAAGATGCCATAAACTACTGAACAGCACAACTGCATAAAAACCGATCACATCCCCACGCACACCACAGAGCCCCAGCTACTGCAGCAGAGAAGCCTTACCAGATCTGCAGCTTGATTCTCTTGCCATCGAGCTCTATGGTTCGAATTTTAAAGTCGATACCTGAAACGAGAACCGATGACTTTATTCACACGTCCTGCCGAAAGGCCAAATCCGACGGCTTTCCCCTCAGTTACGCCGCTAAGTTTCACGTCCTCAGCGCTCCCTCCCCGCTGTTCCCCAGCACCGGCCCCGCCGGGGGCTGCGGGCCGGACGGAGCAGCCCCTCACGGACCCGTAGGGAGCCCCCCCAGCCACGGCAGCGACCCCGGCCCCTGTGGTTCCGCGGCCCCCAGCCCGGAGCCCCCGAACGGGACGCGCCGCCGCGGGACCCGCGGGCGGGCCGGTGTGTAGAGCAGAGAGGGCGCGGCCCCGGCCGGCGCTCACCGATGGTGGAGATGAAGGTGGCGTTGAAGGCGTCCTCGGAGAAGCGGAACAGGGCACAGGTCTTGCCCACGCCCGAGTCGCCGATCAGCAGCAGCTTGAACAGGTAGTCGTAGGTCTTCGCCATGTTGGTGGGCACCGGCCCCGCCCACCACGCGCTCATTGGCCGAGCTCGGCGGGGAGCGCACGGAGCCGGCACGCCATTGGCCAGCGGCCTGGACCCGGCTGCAAGCGCCTCTGCGATTGGCTGCCGGCTTCCCCGCCGGCGCTACGTCACTTCCCGTACGGACAAGGCGAGGTCGGGCGGCTACAGTGACGTCACTGCCAGCACCGTGACGTCACGCCGCCGAGCAGCAGCGTTACAAAAAGCCGCGGAGAGGCCTCGGGACTGTGAGAAATTGTTTAATATGAAACGGCAGGGACAGGTGCCCGGGGAGGCGGCGCCACCGCTCGGGTGCGGCTTCTACTGGGGTTTTATATGGAAGGACTAAGGAACCGTGAGGAACAGCCAGGCACGGGCCACGCAGCAGCCCCGGCAGGGTCGGGGCTCCCGGGGGCTGCCCAGAGCCCGTCGTGTGGCTGTGCTGGTCATAACTTAATTGGCTTTTCCAGGATACAGAGAGAGAAAGGAGAGAGGGGCGATGCAGGGACAGGGCTGGTTGCTGTTGGCTGCTGTCAGCTCTGCACCTCTCATATACAGTTCAGTTCATTTAGCGTCTGGTCCAGTGTCTGGTGCAAGCCCAAGTTCTCCTCCTTGGCTTGAGCAAGTTTTTCTGGTGAGAAAGAAGAAAACCACAAGATTTAAATCACATTATTTTACAGCCTTTTCTCTTTAAATAAGACCTTGGGTAACTTACCTTCATATTTAAGACGCCTTTATAGCTATATCATCAAAACGGGGCCAGCTTTTTGTAATTTCTGTCCTTAAGGGAGGTTTTGGACATGTCTCATGAAATGTGTCATTTATAGGACACATCCTGCTGGGTTTTCCTTGGACTGAGAGGTTTTTAACCAGGCTGGTGGAGCACAAGTAGATACTGAGCCCAGTTAAAGCTTTTTGCTGACACCTTGGGAACACTTGAATTTGAGTGTTTGCCAGATCCAGGTCCTGCCCCATCCTGACTGTGTCTTGCCCAACCCTACATGAGGAGCTGAATGTGTTTTCGATGTGATCACCAGTGCATTTGAGGTGATTTATACAGAAGTGAACCCCGAAGGTTGAAAGGTAGAGGTATCATGTTTTATTGAGCTGAGTTCCCACAGAAGTGGAAGGGTTGCTTGTGGAAGTGACACAGAAGTGACAGGGATTACAGGCGAGAAAAGCTTGAGAAAACACAGTGACTGGGAGCCCCCTGCTTCCCCACACAGGGGCAGGTCACAAAGAAGTCATGTCGTTGAGGGCATGGTCGAGCTCCTCACTGATGGCTTTGTACTTCAGCTTCTGAGCGTAGAGCTCATCTGTCAGTCCCGAGGGCAGCAGGAATAGGCCAGCAAGAAATGCAGGGAAGAGAAGAGGCCACAGGAGGAGGATGGAGACAGGCAAAAGGCAACAGCAGCCAAAGGAGTTGGGCAGGAAAACAAAAGAAGAAAACAGAGGTGTAGTTGAGTATCAAAAGGAAAGCAAAACATCCACAAAGCTGCCTGGTCAGAAGTTTCACCTTTGTGAACTTTTTGTCTTTTTGTAATCTCACAATTATTTTCCAGTAAGCAGATTAAGCAGGGAGGGGATCATGAGCCCTTGAGCCCCTCTATCTGTAAGTTGGCTAAAATCAGGCCATTGTTACCAACTTTATGAAAGAAAATCTTTTTCAGGAGAACTTCCACCACACAGGGCAGGTGCCCAGTGGACACATCACACCCCTGTACCAATATGCCTGAGGAGAGTTGCTGTTCTTTCCCAATAAAATCCACCACCCACTCCTGGAATTTGTTCTCTGATTTGAAACTGATGACGTTTAAAGGAACTTGACTCATTCCATACCTTCCAGGTCGTCAATAGACTTTTCCAGTTTGGCAACAGTTCTCTCGGCAAATTCCGCACGAGTTTCAGCCTAAAAAAGTTGAAATGGCATCATTGGATACTGCTAGAAAGATTATGTCCAAAGACAATTTGGGGATGGCCAAACTTACTTCTTTCAGCTTGTCGGAGAGAATCTTGATTTCTTCTTCATATTTATCTTCTTTTTCCGAGTACTGTGAAAACAATAAACACTCTTTAAAGGAAGATGTAGCAGCAGTAAGAAATGCTTAAGAAACTGTGACCTATTTATAAGCATTCTTCCTTTTACAAAAGCTGCAAACACCATTCCTGTGCTTTTCTCCTCTCCCCCAGACCTTCAGCTTGTTTGGGCAGAACTGATCCAGTGGTATCCACAAGCAGGCAGGTAAAACCTCTCATTTGCTTTGTATTTCTGGTTTATTTCTGTGAATTCTATTTACAAGTTTTGGCTTTGCTCATATCCTTTAGTTTACTGAAAGAACCAACCTTTTCAGATTGAGCTTCCAAAGATTTCAGGTTGTTTGTGACGTTCTTTAACTCCTCTTCAAGGTCACTACATTTACTGTAAGGGGAAAACAGAAGTATGAATTACTAGTCCTCCTGTTATGATTTGGAAGAGTCTAAAAAACACAAGGGAGGAAGTAATTAAGTCTGAAAGAAGAAAACTGGGTATATCCATACAAACAAACTTTTCTACAAGTACTAACTACATGCCTGCCCACCAGGAAATTTTTTAATGAAATGTAGCGTTGATCTTTTGTGTATTCTAAAAAGTTACTCACACTTCAGACACCTCTGCACGCTCCTCAGCTCTTTCCAGTTCACCCTCCAAAATAACCAGTTTACGGGCAACCTGTAAAAACACAACAGCTGTTGTCAGAGAATCACAGCATGGCTCGGGTTGGGAGGGACCTCAAAAACCATCTGGTCCCATCCCCTGCCACAGGCTGGGACACCATCCTTTCAGATTTCAAAAAGCACCCAGCAGTACTCTGCTCCTGCTTCCTCTGGAATAAGGGAATCAGATGAAAGCATACACCCACAGATGTAACAGCCCTCCCCAGTTAGTTAGATTTTGCAGTTTTTTAGCATTAAGTACCTAAGATGCTGCAAATCACTTTTAGAATTCCTCCTTGCTGGGAATGTCCCATGGTTGAAGCATCATCCAGTGTCAACTGGACAGAGGGACTAAACTGAGGAGTAACATTATTGTTCATGGTTCTCCTGTAGGTTTCACCATTTCCTTCTCCCTTTTACCTCCTCATACTTGCGGTCAGCTTCTTCAGCAATGTGCTTGGCCTCCTTCAACTGCATTTCCTGAATTTCCATTTTCTCTTCATCTTTCATTGCTCTGTTCTCAATAACCTTCATTCCTCTGCAAAAGTTAAAGCATGTTTAATGAAGAAGCATTTTGGCACTTGTATCTCAACGTCACAAACTGGAATTTTGTATTTCTAACCCAAAAGTGGCCCATTACGACCATCGTGTTCATCAAGGCTAAGGGAATTACCCAATCAAACTTGTAAAAAAGTTTCAAGTCTCTGACCTGCAGCCCACATTAGCACATGCAGATACGAAATTACCCAGGAGTATTTTATTCATATATATTCATTTTTTTAAACAATGTACCTCTCACTCTCATCTGCTGCTTTCTCAGCCTCCTCCAGTTTCTGCAGGGCTGTGGCCAGTCGTTCCTGGGCACGATCCAACTCCTCTTCCACGAGCTGGATTCGTCTGTTCAGAGCTGCCACCTCACCTTCAGCCTGCGTGAAACACCCGCCCAGAACGGGGGTTACACAGGTCACTTGCTGCTGGCAATGCTCCCAGCTAACGAGTTTCCTTCAAACTGCAACAGCATCTCCCCGAGACATGCAGGGGAGCTCAGGGGCCCTTCTGCCTCTGCTTTTTTGTTTGCTTAAACTGTGGCATCTCAGGAATGTCAAGGTATGGAGTGCGTGCGCTTGTTCTTTTCTTTTTTTAATGGCACTTATCATTCCTGCCGCACAAAAAGGAACTCTACAGGACTGCAAATGGATCGGGGTATTTTTGGAGCACTTCACAGGGCTGCATCTATCCAAACTTAAAAAATGAACTGTTTCCATGATGGCTTAGTTCCAAAACCTTTACCGTTGATTTCTCTGCCCTTGGTTTCAGTGACACCCTGCCAGAGCTCACTGTGAAGTTTGAGCCCATTCCTGATCCGTCCTGGCTCCCAAGCCTGCAGACGAATCTATGTGGTCAGCTGGGCACAGACAGTGGCCTCAGCATGGCAGAGTCAGGCTTTTTTTGGGACAAAATTAGATATATTCTTGAAATAAGGGCACTTTGCTTCCTGCAGTACTTAAAGGAATTAGGCAGGATGCATGTCTTAGTAAGATATGTTTGTATATTATGAAATAAACTGCACAGTAATTGGAAGACCATTAATGTATAAAAAAAGACTAGTTAATAAATGGAAGAGATTGCTGGGAGAAATGCTCGATACAGACAACATGGACAAATTGGTGTCCATAAATATGTTTATTAATATACGGCTCCTTTAATTGTTTGTTTTTGAAGGAAAATAAAGCCCTGCTTTAATAACTGTCAGGCTTCTGCACTTTATTGTCCCCAGATCTGAGAAGGATTGCCATATACAAGATTAACTTTTTTGTCTTCCAAATACTTTTACGGGATATAGACCCTGGAGGGGCGACTGTTTTATGCTTTATGTTAAAACACTTCAGAAAAAAAAAAAAGTGTTTTGCTGCAGCTTAGCAAATTTGGTCACTGACCACTCCTAAGCTGGAGGAAGTGGTTTCCATTCACTTCTGAGCCATCTTGGAAAGGAGTTCAGTGGCTGATCCAAATGGAAGCTGACCCAGGATTCCTCTAGTCATAAATTATCCAACATTTCATCTGTGTTTTACCCAGTGCGGTGTTTAACTTCCCGATTTCTACACAAAGCATCGATCACGTACAAAACTGGCATCTGTTCTGTGGCACCAACTCCTTCCACTACATAGGGTACTTTTAAATCCCGTTTTAATTCAGCAAGATTCCAAAGCTATGGAGCCGGGGCCACTGGGAATCTGGGGTGAGCCTGGCTCCACCTCTCCCAGCAGCAGCCCGAAGTCCTTATACGGTAAAACTAACTCGCTGACATGTGATAAAATAGCAGGAAGATGCCGGGAAGGCTGATCGCACACAAATCTTAAGTGAAACCAGCTGTCCAACCCCGGGAGAGCCGCACGCTAGCGGAGAATTTGCATTTCTCTGTGAAAACCAGGACGGAAAGTTATTTTTTTTTTTTTTTTTCAGCAGTTCGGACATTTCCCAGCTGTGCTGAAGCCAGCGGTGCGGCGCCGAGAGGCGGGAACTCCCCGCTCCGTGTCATGCAGCGCTTTTCCCTAATTAAAACAGCCATTTCCTACTAAACACTCAACCGCTCCCCGGTGCCGAGCGGTGCTCGAACGCCTTTTCCGCAGGAACGGGCCCCAAAGCGCGATGGGCGGCCCGGTTCCCCCGCGGGACGCTGCGGCAGCGCCGGGGCTCCCGCGGGCGGTGAGTGCGGAGCGCAGCGGAGCAGCGCGGGGATGGAGACAGCCGAGGGATGGAGACAGCCGAGGGATGGAGGCAGCCGAGGGATGGAGGCAGCCGAGGGATGGAGGCAGCCGAGGGATGGAGGCAGCCGAGGGATGGAGACAGCCGAGGGATGGAGGCAGCCAGCGGCCAAGGCGCCCTCCCGCAGCGGGGAAGAGCCGGGCGCGCCCCAGTGAGAGAGAGCCAGAGACAGGAAGGAAGGAGCAGCCCGGGAGAGAGCGACCGAGAGAGGCGAGCAGGCAGCCCGGGCGGTCTCACTTTCTCCCGCAGGTCCCGTTCCAGGTCCAGCTCCCGCTGGAGGACCTGGGCGCGATCCTCCGCCTCATCCGCCTGTTGCTGCAGGCACTGGATCTTCCTCTTGACGGCTTCCAGGGAGCTCGGCGCGGCCATGGGCGCGTTCGGCGGGCTGGGCGCGGAGGCGCTGCACGTGGCGGGCCCGCGCCTTTCAATGGCCCGGTGACGTCACGCGGCTGGAGGTGGAGTGGTGACGTCGCGCTGGGACCGGGGCCGGCACGGCGGGACCGGGCCCCGCTTGGGGTTCGGCCCCGCTCGGCCCCGTTCGGGGTTCGGCCACGCTCGGGGTTCGGCCCCGCTCGGCCCCGCTCGGGGTCCCGCTCGGCCCCGCTCGGGGTTCGGCCCCGCTCGGGGTTCGGCCCCGCTCGGGGTCCCGCTCGGCCCCGCTCGGGGTTCGGCCCCGTTCGGGGTTCGGCCTCATTCGGGGTTCGGTCCCGCTCGGCCCCGCTCGGGGTGCGGTCCCGTTCGGGGTTCGGACCCGCTCGGGGTGCGGTCCCGCTCGGGGTGCGGTCCCGTTCGGGGTTCGGTCCCGCTCGGGGTTCGGCCCCGCTCGGGGTTCGGCCCCGTTCGGGGTGCGGTCCCGGTTCCCCCGGTAGCCGCGCCCGCCGCGCCCCCGTCCCGGCCCAAAGGCGAGGTTTTCACCCCTGCCCGCGCTCCGCCACCGGGGTGTGGCGGGGAGCCCGCACTGGCCTTTGCCCTGCCGCGGGGATGAAGCCAAAGGGCATCCTTATGCTATAGCTCTGCTGCCGTCCCATTTCCCTTCAAAAGTCACCGTTTTGTTTATTTCTACTAAAGGAGATTTCTCCTTTCCTAAAGAATTCCCATCGGTTCCGGGGAGGGGGAGAGGTCCCCCTGGGTGCCAGCAGGTGCCCTCCGGGTACCAGGGAGCCTCAAGTGGTGCCAGCTCCCGGGGGCAGCTGGGTGTACCGCGGTCTCGGTGCAGAACAGCCCCGCTCCGTTTAGAAGAGGGGAGAGGAGATTAAAACCCTGCACCGTAACCCCCCCGCCTTTCTATCCCTCGCCAAAAACGCATACAACCAGTGAGGTGCATACAACATACACAGAGCAGAGTTACAGGCAAGTGTTAGCCATGGATACCTACATCAGTGGCCTTCTTCTCAGCCTGCTCCAGTTTTTCTTGGGCATCTTTGAGAGCCTCTGAGTATTTATCCAGCTCATCTTCAGTTCCTTTCAACTTCTTCTGCAGAGCTACCAGCTCGTCCTCTACCTTTCAAGAGAAAAGAACCCCAAAGTGAGCATATTGATGTAGTATCAGTTACAGTTTAATACGATAAAACCACTCTTTACTACTTGTTTTAACCCAATATAGCATACAAATAGCCACAAAAGACCAGATCAAAGTTCTGCTGGTGACAGTAGTCTGAGATTGACTGGTAGCAGTTGCCAGGGAAGGATCATTAAAAACATCTCATCCTTGAATAATATTGCCTGCTGCCACACACACACACAGGATCTGGTTTAATACAGAACTTGGTATAAGCCCTTTTTCACCTCACTTTTTTTTTTTTTTTTTTTTTTTACACCCTGCAGCAGTTTTATAGCATTACAGATGGTTTTAAATTATGTCCTTTTAGTGTTTGTTCTAACACTATTACCTGGCGACTTTTCAGGAAACTATTCAATTCCTGTACAGCAGAAAAAAATTGAATGGTCCTTCCTTAATGATCTTTGTGTTTCAGGACACTTCAACCCAAATGAGATACCGTGGATGTAGGAGGGAGCAGGGCTGGCCTTGCTATAGTTGGGACTCGTGACTTTGGGAGGTCCCTTCCACCCTGGGTTATTCTCAGAGGCCCAACACAATATGCCTCAATCAAACGATGAGGCTCAGACTGCTCCATACCATATAAATCCATATTGTTCACTAGAATGGTGCTATTTATAACCTGCTGGGAGACTGTTTAGTGGCAAACTGTCTCATGCTCCCTGAGGAATTCACCTTATCAAAGGCTTGCTGCTGATAAGGGTGGGCCAGCAAACCCATCTGCTTCATCCTTTCATTTGCAACACAAAACAGCTCAGCCTGTTGACACACTGATTTATCCATTTGGCTCCACCTTGACAGAAATTTACTCTATCAAAATAGTTTGTGCTTTGGTGTACTTCCTTCATTTTAGTTTCACTGATGGTTTTAAAGACATTTTTGGAAGTGTGCTTATTCTGGAATGTTGTTATCTTGCAGAGAGTAACCAGATAGTGTGAGAGAACTGCAAACCTTGCTTGGATGTTCTAACAGAGAGACAGTGAGCAGCATGAAGCAGATGCTGGCTTTGTGTATGAATATTAAAGTAATTATTTGAGTACTGTGCCCACATTAAAAAAGAAGCTTTTCAGACAAAAATTGAGACAATTCAGAAAAGAGGAGTAAGATCAAAGATTTCTTTTTCTAAAAAAGAAGAAATATTAGGCCAGATGAATGCTTACAACATATTAGAGCAGTGTGGAAGATGTAGAAGCAGCCAAATTTAGAGAATGTAAAAGGGAAAGATGTGGTACTTTGACAAAAAGTGCTGTAAAAACTTGAACGTAGTCAGCTAACATTTCAAGATCATTCTGGAAATACTAAAGCTCAAATAGGAGACAGACACCCAGAATAAAGACATTGAAAAGCAAAAGAATACGAAAATGTTATCATTAGGATTCCGTTAAAAGAACAGCATTCAAATTAAGATATTTTCCATTATTCTTGACAAAAAAATTAAGAGAACATATCTCCTGTTGAGTCTCAGCTGGAACCTCTATGGGGCACTCTCTGCACCAAGAACTTGAAGTGAACTTTATTAATTCACTTCAAGGAGAGGCTTAATTAATGTTTAGACACAGCCAACTCTATTAGCACTAGTCCTACAGGTGTCAGAGTTTACAGCTTTGATTTTAAATATGTAAAGACCTTTTGCATGGAATCAAAGCATGAGAAATATAGGACATTTATGTAAGATTCGAGAAAACTTGGACAAAGTACTGTTAATAATCTGTGGATGATGTTAATTTTGGAAAGACTGAGATGGGTGAGAAGTTCTAGCCCTGACTGTACAAGCATAACAAAAAGGCAAAAAAAAAAAAAAAATCTTCAAAAGAATATTAACAGAAAACTGACTTGAAATTATTTTGCTTTCTGAATCAGAACATTCCACACAGTATTTTGTTACACTTATTTCCACAGCACACACACACACACAATGATTTTATTTCCACTTACCTGCTTGCATTTGTCCTCAGCTGCCTTCTTATCCGTCTCAGCCTGCTCTGCTCTGTCAATGGCATTCTCCTTGTCTAACTTCAACATCTGCATCTTTTTCTTGATAGCTTCCATTTTTGCTCAAGGACAGGCTGGATCTGTCAGGCAACTGAAGGAATCCGATGAGTAAAATTTCAGATTTTTAACAGCTTGTCTCTGCAGGGCAGAGAATGAAGTTGTACCCAGGCAAGTCACAGGGAAAATGAGCTACAAGTGGTTTTAGAGAGCTTTAAACCCAGAGCCCCCTGGACAAAACCCAGATCTATTGGCCTCTTCTCTGGTGTTCCATCCACAGCCTTTCTAAGGAATGAGCTGGAACAGACTCACTACAGGAATCTTCACCACTCCATCTCCTTATTTGGGTCCTGTTTTCTTAAAGAGAAAACTGTTTCCATTTTTAAGCTTCTGACAGAAGCAAAAGTGTTGACATATGAACACATGCTTGAAGAAAAGCTGATTAGCTCCTCTTTGTGTGTGCAGAGCAATTAACCAACACAGCAGATTTCGGGGATGGCCTGCCTTCCTGGAATAATGGCATGAGGCTAATGAAGGGAAGGATCTCTTTAGGTTACTCCAAAATAAATCTATGCATAAAAAAAAAATTAAAAAAAAAAAATCTGTGCTTAAGAGGTAGCTAAATTTAAGTTGTAAAAAGATACAGGATATGAGACAGCAGAGGTTTTTGCTGTAAAAATAAGCACTGGTGTTAAGGAACTAGCTATAATGTGTGATAGTATAATGCATAACAGAGCTCAAATTTAGATGTCAAGTTCAGGCTCAAGGCAAACTCAGTGAGTTTGAGTGCCTGTCCTTGAAATATCCCTCACTAAATACTTGGGAAAATGAACAACACCTAAAGTTGGAGTCTGATGAGCACTGTAAATTATTCCTTCTGCTGTATGAAGGAGTCACCTTCATTCTGTCAGGGAAGAGAGCAGTGGGAGAAGTTCCACTGACAGAGGACACCAAGCAGAGTGTCCAACAGCCCCAGAACGAGCTCTGCTTCCTTTTGCAGCTCTGTTAAACACATCCCCAAAACCATTCCATCCTTTCACATGCTCCTGGGGAGCCTCACAGTCTGACACAGCCTTGTCCTGACTGCTCTGGTGTTCTCATGTCCCAATGTAAAGCATTTTCCAGGGAAGCCTGGCAGCACTTTTGGACTTTTATACCCTGGGCATCTGCACAGAGCCGTGGAATATACTGAGATGGTCCCACAGTGATCAGCAAGTCCAACTCCTGTCTCTGCACAGATACCCCACCAATTCCATCCTGTGCCTGAGAGCCTTGCCCAAACCCTCTTGGAGCTCTGGCATCCTTGGGGCCATGACCATTCTCTGGGGAATATATCCAGTGCCCAGGCACCCTCTGGGGGAAGAACCTTCTCCTGATACCCAGCCTTTGTTTCCCCAGGGCTGGGTGACCACACCATGTCCATGCCCTGCTGGGTTCTGCTGTGCTCCCTCCCAGGGCAGCCACAGCCCAGCTCCCTGCACGACCCCTCTGCCCAAAGTGCCACCAGGGCACCACCACACTCGCCACAGGACCCAGAACCTCCCCATCCTCTGGGGCTGAGCTGGCACCACACTGAAAGGCCTCTGGGAGACGTTTCTAAGGAAAAATCTGCCCTTTATTGAGCTAAACATGATGGTAGAGTGGACGTTGTTATAAATGAGAGACAAAAGTCTTGATATGCAGCAAAATTGAGATTGTTTTATTTGATATAGACAGAGCAAGCAGAGCTGGGGAAGGTGAGGGGTCACCTCGGTTTGCAGCCTCTTCTTATACTGTGGGTTCTCGTTGTACACAAATTCACAAAGTTTTTGGGTGATAATCAGTCACAGATTGCCATCTGGGCCTTGTAGATGGCCACCAGAGTAGTTTTGGGAGTCTGGTTTTTGGGATAGGCAGCATTGATCAGACAAAGGCAGGAAGGGCTTTTTGGGAAGTCTGATTTTGCAAGCTGGTGGCTGATACAACTTATTTGAAAAACATATTCTAATATAACATAATACAACATAATATACCATAACAAGGTGATTTTAAACAGAATTATTTAATCATATAATTTACATTATCTAGTGTCCATGCTTCACTTCAGAGCTTAGTATTCTGGTTTATACAAACCCTAATGCTTTTGTGATTAACACGAATCTTTTATCAATTGTCACAACATGAAGCCAACACCAGCACAATGCCTGTGCTGGGATAGTGGCTGGTACAGGGCACCATCTTTTGAATTGTTTTGAATTTGTTCTGAACATAGGGTTGAGAATATAGTGATGTTTTTGTTATTGCTGAGGCCTTTCCTGCAGCTTACAGAACCATGGTGAGAAGGGGGCTGGGGGTGCCTGAGAGACTGGGAGAGGACATAGCCAGAATATTCCAGACTATCTGACATTACACTCGGGATATAAATGGGGAGGAAGAGGAGCAAACAGGGAACTTTGGGAGTGATGGCATTTGTCTTCCCATGTCCATGGGAGGAACAGGGCCCTGTTCTCCTGGAGCTGTGCAACTCCTGACCACAGGAAGCAGTGAATTAATTCCCTGTATTCCTTCGCTTGTGTGCACACCTTTTGTCTTCCCTGCAAAACTATCTTTCTTTCAACCCACGAGTTCTCTTCTGATTCCCTCTGATCCCGCTTGTGGGCGTGCGAGTGGCTACGAGGTGCTCGCTAGCCAACCGGCGTTAAAACACGACAACGATTTGCTGTTGTTGTTTAAATCAAAACGAATTAATTTAACGAGAAGCCAGGCCTGCCCGCGCCGGCCTTCCCCCGTCACGGCCCCCCCCAACATGGCTGCCGCCAGCGCCCAGGGGCGGGGCTGAGGCGGAGCCAAGATGGCGGCGGCCGGGACTGCGGCTCCCGGCGTGCTCTGCGGCACGGCCCGGCCCAAGATAAAAATCACACAGGGCCTCAGCCTGGAGCGGGTTAAAGTATTGTGTTGTTAGTGTGATAAATGAGAGACAAAAGTTTGGATGTGCAGCAAAATTTTGATTGCTTTGTTTGATATAGAAAGAGCGAGCAGCGCGTTGGGGAATGTGAGGGGTCACCGCCCATTCCATGCTCCACCCAACCTCGGTTTGCAGCCTCTTTTTATACTGTGGGTTCTCGTTGTCATCAATAATTTTGGGGCTTTTGTTGTCATAAGCAGTGGTGGTTGAATAAACATCCTTACGCAAAGCCTCTGGGTGATAATCAGTCACAGATTGCCATCTGGGCCTTGTAGATAACCACCAGAGAAGTTCTGGGAGTCTGGTTTTTGGGATAGGCAGTATTGGTTACACAAAAGCAGGAAAGGCTTTTTTTTTGGGAAGTCCGATTTTCCAAGCTGGTGGCTGATACAACGTATCTGGAAAACATAACATATTCTAATGTAACAAAATACAACATAATATAACATAACAAGGTGATTTTAAACAGAATGATTTAATCATATAATTTCCTTTATCTAGTGTCCATGCTTCACTTCAGAGCTTAGTATTCTGGTTTATACAAACCCCAATGCTTTTGTGATTAACACACCAATCTTTTATCAATTATCACAGTTCAAACCAGCTGGCTGCATTTCCTGGCTCCTTCAGGGCTTCCATCAGGCTGCTGCTGCCATCCTGCCTTCAAACCTGTTTCACCTGGTGGTCCTGCACGGTGGATGTGCCACAGGCTCTGTGACCCAGAGGAACGAATTTTGGGGTGTAGTTTGGAGGCACAAGGGGAGGGAATGGAGTGGGAAGGACTGTGTTAGCCCTGTTTTACCCAACACACGTAGGAACTTGTGGAATGGAGGCTGATTTGAGGCTGTGTGTGCTGCTCCTTGGGACAATAGCTGTTTGTACCATTAGGTGTGCATTTTGAGCCGTTCCTGTGGCTGCTCTCACAGCCTCTTCATAATTTCTATGATTGAGAGAAGCACAAGTGTTTTTCCAGGCAGCTCACCAGCCCCCATCCTGCCACAGGCTCGGGCAGGCTTAGAATCAGGGCTGGGGAAGCAAACACTGAACGAGATTCTTTTTCCTTTCAGTTTCAACTGCAGGAAGATAATTTTTCTACCCTCTGTCGCCCTTCAACCAGGTACATGCCCTTCTCCTCTTCCCTGCTTCACGAACTGGAGAGAAACACCTGAAGAATTCAGTGATGATAATCCTGTCAGTCCCACAGCCTCTGGTTTTCATTAGCTTGGGAAACAGTGAGCAACCAAGAGAGAAAGAAGAGCACTCTAAACCATTTCTTTTTGTTTGTTTGTTTCAGGCAGGCAGGCAGGAAGGTGCTTTACAGGCTGTAAGAGTTCCATTGTTTTTCCTTTTGATTGTTTGGGCTGAGCAAAGCTTGGCAAGGTTGGTGTGTAAATATGAGAGGATACCAGAAGGAAATGAAGTTGGATTGTTGGAGAGTGTGCTCATTCCTTTGGCAGCAGGCTGCATGGGAAGCTTGTCACAGCAGGCATCTGAACAGACTGGGGGTGGTCAGACCTGTGGCCTGACGTCGGCAGGTCTCAACATTTTCTCTGCTGTCAATCCCTACTCCTTTTTTTTGTGATCCAGCAGTTAGCTGAGACCCACAGCATGGCCCATTTCACTAGCTGTGAAAAACAGACACTTTATATCCCCCAGTTTCTCCTGCAGCTCCTTTTCTGCTCCAAACTTCGGTTGTAAAAGAAATCCTTCCTCTCTTTCACACTGATTGAGTTCAACTCCTCATACACAAAGCTGCATGTATCAAGGCTAGAAGCAATTCAGAGCAGAAGAAAGAAGCTGTTTACAATCCTGTACCAAATTCCTTCATTTTACTAACATAAGTATCTCTTAACAATCCATTAACTTGTAAACTTTCTGTTGTAGAAACTATATAATATTGTGTATCAATAAAAAAGGTGTCACTAGACCAAACATCAAACTTGTCTCTTCCTGACATTTCCTTTTAAATGACAAGATCTATAAAACCCTCAGATCTCAGTGAATTTTTTGCTCTGTGGGCTCTCCCTGCAGGGAACTCTCCCTCTACCCATCTCAGTGTGTGTGCCAGTGCCAACCTGAAATCATTAATCCTCATTAAGGATCTATTACTGACCACGGATGAACACAAAGTACTGGGCTGAGTGTGATGAAAACAGTAGATCTGCTTTTCCTGTGGCTAGATCCAAGGGAAATCTACCTCTTTTCTTCTATAATCTCACTTACCTGCGTTTCCCATCAGGATCTCTGAACACCTGAGATAATGAGTTTTGCACTGTTTGGAATAGGATGGCAGAATTCACTCAACACCTGAAGTGTACATCTGCTTGGGAAG